CTCATGTACAAACCTTCTCTTTCTCCATTAATAAAACTAGATAATAACCATCTTGCAGAAGATAGACTCAAAGCACAGAGAACATATACATCTTAAAATTAGGATAAAGTACCATCACACCCATTAAGATTTGGCAAAAGGATATTTAGAAGAAACTTAGAAGAAACTTACCTGTTTTTTGGGCAAAGAAACCTCCTGAAAGTTCAAAAATGGACAAAGACACCTCTTTATATAAAAAATTAACCAAATTACCCTTTAACCATTTAGGAGACTTTTTAACTTTACAATTTAATAAATTGGACCAATCTACCCTCATGAATAATTTATGCATAAAAAAAATAAAAAAAACTTTAGAATGTTCACTTTTTTTATTTATTTACTTTATAAATGTCCCAACTTCTTAAAATGTAGACGTTTAAAATGATTTTTTTTTTTTTATTCAATACATATATTTCAAATAAGTTATATTTTGTTATTACTTCTTTTCTTTTTCTTTTTTATTTTTAAATTAAGATGTTTAATTCTTTTATCTAAAAAAATTAAACCAATCTCTTTTCCTTAAAAATAAAAAAATATGATATCAGTATAACTTTATGCATCTTAAATTATATATCAAATATTATGCATTTCCCAAGATAAAAGAAAATATGTACCATTACAACTTTATGCATCTTAACTTTATGCATGCCTTTGTGTTTTTTTTTTTTTTCCTTTTGTTTTTTTTTTTTTTTCCTTTTTATGTTGGGAAATGCATAATATTTGATATATAATTTAAGATGTATAAAGTTATATTGCTACCATATTTTTTATTTTTAAGGAAAAGAGATTGGTTTAATTTTTTTAGATGAAAAAATTAAGCATCTTAATTTAAAAATAAAAAAGAAAAGAAAAAAAGTAATAACAAAATATAATTTATTTGAAATATATGTATTGAATCAAAAAATCATTTTAGACTTCTACATTTTTAAGAAGTTGAGACATTTATAAAGTAAATAACGAAAAAAAAAAAAAAAAAGTGACATTTTTTACTTTTTGTTTTTTTTGCTTTTTACTTTTTTTATACATAAATTGCTCATGAGGGTAGATTGGTCCAATTTATTAAATTGTAAAGTTAAAAAAGTCTCTTAAACGGTCAAAGGGTAATTTGGTCAATTTTTCATGTAAAGGGGTGTCTTTGTCCATTTTTAAACTTTAAGAGAGTGACTTTGTCCAAAAAATAGATAAATTTCCTCTGAATGTCCTTTTATCAAACCTGAGGAGGTGTGACTATACTATACCCTTAAAATTAACATATTGAATTGAATTGCATAACCTATTGGTTAAGTGATCTTTCCGGAATAAATTCTTCACAAGAACATAGATTTGGGCCACTGCAATCCTATTTGAAGCCACCTTCGATTGCTTTCCTCGGGTAAATTGACAATCCTCTTGATGCTCAAATTTTACTAAATCACAGGGAAAAAAAAACCCCAATTCACTGTGTTTCTCTCAATCTTCTGTTTTTATTTTATAATGAAGTTAAAGCGTGCAAAGAAATTTTGAGTTTCTCTGATTTTTCCAGGAATTCAAGTCGTCTCAACCAATAAAGCGTGTTTTGGGGTCAAAACTTCCGAGTAAAAGCTTGTTGGGGTATATTGGGAAAAAAATGAAAAATTAATTTCATTAATATATTATTTTGCTATGTAGATGCAAAAGGGTAAGATGGTAAATTAATAAGATAGTATTTTTTTAAAAAATGCAAAAGTGTAAGATGGTAAATTTAATAAGATAGTCTTTTCCCAATTTTTATTCTCTTAAAACAGTATTTTATGAAACATACTAATTTATTGGTTTATCTCTCCCTTCTTGCTTGCGGATGAGCCCTGAATTCAATTTCAACCGAACAAATGTTCGCAGCATTATAAATTGTATTGTTATTCTTTTCAACAATTCTCTTTTGGTGGATTTGTCCTTATGACATATAATATGACCAATACCTAAACAGAGAATAGGGACTTTGTTTCTATGTTTATGGCTACCTAACTTATAAAAATCCCCAAGTCAAATTTTAAAATAAGGATGACAACATATGCTCAACTAAGAGCATCTCCAATGCTAAAACCTATTTTTGCATGTCAAATTTATATTTTGACAAGTGTTACAGTGCCAAAATGCTACATTTTAACAATTATGCTCTAATAGTACATTTCACACAAAATGCTATTTTTTAACACAACCACTATTCTTTTGCAACTACTATTCCCACCATTCATATTTGCATCAATAATATTAATATTAGGCACATTCCAAGTCAAGTTGTAGACATTAGAAGGAAACTAAAATTAAACCTAATTAAAAAAAAGTACAAATCTAAAATATTTGGTAAAAAAAGGACAAAAAAAAAAATAATAATAATAATAATTTTTTTTACCACTATTTGTGAATTGATATTTTATATAATTTTTTTTTTGAAAATTTATATATATAATATATATGTATATTATATATTATATTTATATTTATATATATAGAGATGCGAGTGGGTTGACTGGTGAAAAAAGACACCGTTTTGAGAAATGAAAGATTTGCTAAAAAATTTAACAGTTGCCATATATGAGAAGAAATTTGAGAATCTCAAATTTTGAGAGCTCAAATAAGAGCCCATTGAAGAAGCCTTTTTTTACCCAACTCTCATATTTTGAGTTTGAGAGGCCCAAATGAGAGAACATTGGAGTTGCTCTAATAAGATGTAGACATTAGTGATGGACACTTTTTTTTTTTTTTAACCCCGGAAATTAATTAGTGATGGACCTTTTACGGCACACAAAACTCCCGATAAGTCTGGTTCATCGAGAATTATTACCGTTTCTGCATCAGGTTACAGTAGAGATTAGAATTTGAGTCCAAGACTTCACGAGACAAAAAAATAAAAAGGTCAATATTTTTTTCCTCTAGTCTCCTTATTCGGGTCATAAGTGGATCCCAATGTGACTCTAACCAAAAGAAATTGCGGGAGACAACTTATTGCTTGCATAATTAATCTCATTGTGGCATTTCTTTAACTAATTTTTTTTTTTAAAAAAAAAAAAGAAAAAGAAAAAGAAATGACTAAATGGTACCATAGCATACTTAAATCTTATGGATAGAGTACAAAAAAAACCCCCTCAACTTGTAGCATTTTCTAATTAACCTCCCTTATCTATTTTTTTTACCGGTGAACACCCCTCAACTTGTAACATTTTTTTCAATAAATCCCCTTTATTTAATTTTTTTATCAAATAACCCCCTCAACTTTCTGAAGGTGGTAAAAGAGTTGATATTTGAACCAAAATGCCCTTTTATTTAAATTTTAATTCTCCCGAACTTCAAAATTTCATATCTCACAAACCGTACATTTAAAAATTATAAATAATATATGCACAAAAAACTTATGAAATAAGAATTTCAAAAATATAAAATTTGTAAAATAAACCTTTATAACCAGAAAAAAAAATAAATTATCTAAAAATCAACTCCAACAATCTAAAAAATAATTTATGCTTCAGAAAATGGAAGCAGCCCCACCATGACATCAATGTCGGGTTTGGTTTAAAGAAAAAACAGATGATTGACTTTTTAATCCATAGCTACATCACCACAACCTTAGATATTTTATAAATCATATATTAAATTAAATCATTTATTAAATATATCGTTTTGTATCACCCTGTGGAACCAAATCGTGGCGATGCAAATACGAAATGAAGATGATCTCATGCGCCGGTGCTTGGGCCCACCATCTACATTGCACTTCCACTGAGTTCCACAGTCAATTACATATTTTAAGAGGATTAACATCAATGATTAAAGAAGAAGAGGCTTTTGCCATTATGTGTTTGGATAGTCTATTATTATTCCCAGAGTTACATATATATTTTTCAAGATGTGATTAACAATTGCTGTTCCTTATTTAAATATTACTCCACTAACAAACCTCGATCCTAACTTTGGACATACCATTCATATAAACTTGTCATTCCATTTCAAACTCCATCTGCTTGTGAAATGACATGCTTCTTCATCAGTATCTGGTCCCAATGGCCTATTAACACTCCATGCATGAATGTGAAGTATTCTTGAACACCCAAAATATAGACACGGGGATAATATCAAAGGCTGTAGTTCAGAGATACTTTTTCACCTTTTAAGGTATAACGTCCGGAATTCGAATTCTAACAGAGGCAAGTGGGAGTGTGGGTGGGCCTATTTCTTGCTAAGGTAAATAATATATATATATATATGGCCCATGGAATAACATATCTTGTTTGGCCGGTATGAAAGGGAGCTTGAACTTTTCAACTCTCCTGAGATCTCTCTAAACTAGACATCTGGTGGTCTTGTCAGACATGCACCTAGCATGCATATTAACTTGTCGAAAACATCTATGTATTTTCATGTTGAATGCTCCTATTTTACTATTAAAAAAATAATAATAAAAAAAAATACCCCTTTTATCATAGAAATGAAGGTAGTGTGAATGTGTCTTTGATTTGAAAGTTTGAAAAATACCTCCACTTATAATCATATAACATAGCTCAAAGATTTTCTCAATAGCAAAAGACTGCTTTCACGGATGTAGAAAGTGGGATAATTTGTTAAGGAATTGCATCATCTAATTAGCAGTTAAGTGTATTATTTAGGTAGCAAAATCACTCTAATATATAAGTAAACTCAAACAAAATGAAAAAGCAGTTCATGGGTGAAACATGAAGCATCAGACAAAAGCATGCAAATGTTGGAAATTGATCTATCATATAACTTCAGCTACCTAAAAGATACAAACAACATTACATTGATAAAATTGACCATAACATATCACAAAATGTATACAACTACCACATCCATCCTTACAGGCGAGTGGCCTAGAGGTATCAGGCTCTTATTTCTGAAAGAGAGGTTAGGGGTTCAAGCCTTAGTTAAGGTATGTGTGTGTGTGAGTACCAATTTGGGAAAAATAATAATAATAATAATAAAAAAAAATGAAAAAAAAAAAAACAGAGCCAGCGATGGATGGACCAATGGAGAAGAAGATCACAAAACTGTCTCCCTCTGTGCTGGTCCTATACTAAATCAACATCTCCATAACAACAATAATATCCAAAATGAAACTAAATAACATACTTATTATGCTACATAATGACACTACCTAGGAACATACTAGTACTACTGCAAGAGAGAACAAAAAGGGGACAAGCCCTAATGCATGTTGTGAACTGATACTGCCACAAGGCTTAAGAAATATGCAGCCTTTGTGTAGAGTAGAATATGGTGGTGGAGGGAAGCTGTAAAAATGTGTTGATCTATTTGTGAATAAGAATCAAGGGCTGATAGTTGTTGTGAAGAAACAAGTAACAATGCTCCAAAGAAAATCACAGGTTGTTTTGTCAAAAATCAGCAACCAGTGAGAAGAAAATGAGAAAGGAGAGCTGAGCACTGAGGATCAGAAGGAGAATTGAAATGAAATGAGGCAAAAATCACAGGCTGTTTTTTCTGAAAATTTTGCAACCAGTGGAAAAATCTGAGGACATTGTCTAAAAACTGTTCTCCAAGATATGTGTGTGTGTGAGAGAGAGAGAGGGAGAGAGAGAGTGGGAGTACTACCCTTTGTCATCTGCAAAGCTGAAGCTAAGGTAGCTTCTTGTGGGTGACTATTCATTCCTGTCCTTCCAGAAGAAGGGCTTCATGGTTGATGAAGATGAGGAGGACGGAGCTGAACCAAAATTGGCTTGTTGCTTCTGCGGATCAGAGTCATGAAATTCCTGGTGATTGGCATTGGCAAAAGGATGGTTTGAAGGTAACAGAAGATTATTGGTTGCATCCGAATCATCCCAAACTGGGCTACCTGGACCCAACCTGCTGGAATTGTATTGAACCAAGCCTCTGCCATTTCATCCCAAACCAATTCTGTCGACTCCAAACTACCTTCCCCTGCACCAGAACCTCCTGCAACCACCTCAACTCCATCACTTGCCGTGGCTTCACTCGATCCCAATCTGGTATCATCACCGACACTATCTCCTCGAGTAGGTGGCAGTGATTCTGTATTGGAGGCCTGCAAATCAAGGCCTTCAGGAGCTTGCTGAGGCTGCTTCGAGTTCTGGCTTGGCATTGAACTTTCGTGGGGAGTAGGAGGAGAAGAAGAGGATGAACTAGGTTCTGTTGATACTGCTGATGCTGCAGCTGTGTCTTTGTCTTTATTAAGGAAGAGTTCGGGGAAATTGAGCCTAGCGTTCTCACCTCTCAACTTAAAGGCCTCACGATCATATGCCATGGCTGCGTCCTCGGCAATGTCAAAAGTGCTGAGTGATGTAAAACTGATTGCTGAAGCCTTTATGGCTTGTTTGGACCGCCAGGGGGCCAAATGGGCATACTGACAAATTTTTTGGGCTGATCCCAAAGTGTGCAGTTTTAACCCAGAAAGAGCCCAATTTTATCAGAAACTGGCCCAACACGTAGATATTGGCAGCTTTGCTGCCAAGGTAGGTCGCCTTTTGGCCGAATTTAATCGTTTAGGGCTCGGGAATGGCGATTTCTCATTTTTGAATATTTCAGGATTTTCGTTAGAAGACTAAACGAATTCTATTTGCTTTCTTTTTTGGTATTTAGTAGTTTTTAGTAATTAAGTTTCTTTCATTATTTTTACAAAATATTCACAGAAAGTTTGTTTTTGAGCAGTTTCCTTGCGCTGCTAATGTCCTTACATTTTTAGGATTTCGTTTATGCTGTTAGGGTTTTTATTTACAAATACATGTATTGCAGAGCAGATCATTCATTCAATTATCAATACAAATATCAGATTTCTCTGAAATTATCCTTTGTTTTGTGGATTAAAAACATCTACTTTGTGGATTCAAAGTAAACTATTCCTTGTGAACAAATTTATCGCTTCCGCTTACGTCAGTTGGTATCAGAGCCTTGTCTTTTCCTGGTCTGATGGCAGATGAACGTGCTGATGGCAACCTCGCTGGTGACGAGGATCGACAGAGAGAGACTCTTTTGAGGGGATGATGGACTGCCGCCGGAGATGAGACATAAGCCACCATCTCCGACGGGCTCTGATACCAAATAGAATTTCGTATATCAGCACATATATAAAATGCAAGATCAAGAAGGGCTACATTTCTCTTATCATTGTATTACTTGATTACTTACATTGAATTGATACACAAATATATAGGGGATAAAGGTGTAGACAATGGGAGTAAATCAAGGAGGAAAAAAGGGAAAAAGATGCAGACAAAAGGAATAAAGCAAGGAGGAACTAAGGGAAAAAGGAAACATAAATTAGGGAATGGGGTTGAGTGGCCACCTAAAGGTGCCACTACAATATACATATACATATACATATATATATATATATATATATATATATATAATATATTTCAACCATTAACGACAATAATAACAATAATAAACAAAAAAACAACCGAATAAAAATAAACATACCTCAGGTTAGACACCATTTTCTTATGGTTTCTCAGAAGTGAAGATTGGGAAGCCAGTTCAAATTGATGTCTTCATCAAGCACATTTATCTTCAAATTGGTGACATGAGTCTTAAAAGGTTCCCAGAGATCAGAAGCCTCTTTGTTGCATATTACCTCCTCTAATTTTAAAAGATCCTTTACCGATGGCGGCAACTTATGAAATTCACAACCTCTCATGTCAAGCTTTTCCAAACCACGCAACCCACCGATCCCCATTGGCAACTGACTCATGCTTAAACAATCAGATATATCAAGAACTCTTAATTCATGGAGACTTCCAATTGATTTTGGTAGCTCCAAAAGGTTTGTACAGGCATGAAGCCTCAGTATGTCTAAACTTGTTAGCTTTCCCAATTCTTCAGGAAGTTCTTCCAGATCATGACATTTAGTGATCCTGAGCTTTTTAAGGGAGGCAATACCACAAAGACCCTTAGGCACTTTAACTAGATCAATGCAACAGTCAATATCAATCTCCACAAGATTTGGGAACATGTGGGGGATATCAATGGTACAGTTTGTAAAGGCCTCGCCAATCTCACACATAATTAAGGATATTTTCTGTAAATTCCAGAATTGTAACGTGGATTTACCAAGGGAAGAAACTGAAACATTCTCTAGTCTGATTCTCTTTAGACTGGACAAAGAATCAAGTAGAGGAAAGTTGCTCAGTTTAGCTGGGCAGAAACCATAATTTGTGATGATCAGAACCTTCAATTGGTCCATTTCCTCCATGAATTCAGGTAGGCCGTAGTTCTTTGTCCAGAAATTCAATATTAGAACTTTAACTTCAGGTAGTTGGATATTGCACCAGTTTGAGGAGAATGCTTCATCTGCAATCAAATTCTGCCCAGTGTGAACTAGGGGAAAAAGAAAAAAATACCGAATAGTCTGCAGCAGGTTTCATTTTGAAAATGTGAGATAAGCAAACCTGTAGAGATGGACAAGAGTTGGGCTTGTAAGGGTTTCTGCATTTGTTCAATCAACCACTTGGGAAGGTCATTTCCTCTTATCTCCATAATTAACCTTTTCCTCTGTTCTACAGGCTCTTGGCTACTTAGGTGAATAGCCAGCTCTCTCAGCAGATCATGCTGCATGACAAAATGCTCACTGCCATCAACCTCACTTGCATCTTTCCTGTGAATGGGAGTAAATCAGGTTTACTTATGGTGAAATTCTATTTTTAGGCATACAATTTATAACAAATATCCTAATGCCTTGCCCCATGCTTAGTCAATCAATTGCGGAAAAAAAATGAACAAAGAAATTCAGGGCTAAAAACAAGATCAGGCTAAAACGGCAGCTAGAATATCCCTACAATTCAAAGTTCCCATATATTCCATCCTCTTATTCAGTTTTCTATAGTGACTTACCCTCTGAATGGACGTTCAAACGGAATAATAATAATAATGATAATAATAGTAATGATGGTGATGATAATTAACAATAAAATTGAGCTCTCAAGTAAGAAAATGGTTTTTTGAGTTTGACTGCAGTTGCTACTTCTATTTATCAGTCCGAGAGAAACCCCTTTGTGCAAAGAATACCAAATGCCACATACATATGTTCATCCCTCCAAAATTCCTCGATTAATGGGGACCACAATTGGTAATAGTCATTTATAAAGTGACATAATAACAATAATGGTAAAAACAATAAACAATGAAGTGTTATTTTTTAAGCACCTTTTGCCAATCATCGCTACATAAACACCTGGCATCTCTTTGACTTTCACCCCTATATCCCCTTCCACTTTATTCCCCTTCAAACCATTTTTATCCCTTTTTTTTATGACAAGTCTTATATGGCTTCCTCTCATCTTGCCTCAAGGCCCTCAACTGGTGCTACCTCTATACCTTCTAAACAAAACATTCAATTACTATGCATATTAGGACATGCACATGCATAAACTGACAGGCAACTAAAACTTAATGTATATTGAAGTCAAAACTCTAAAGAAATCAGTTTGTGGAAAAGAATTTTTTTAATTTGTAACGGTCCTAAACTGATACCAATTATAAAAAAAAATTCGGCATGACCTTTACTAAAAAGGGGCCTACAACAACCTGCTTAAATAAAAAAAATGCAATGGCCTTTCTTGACCCTTCAAGACTTATCCAACCTGTCCCAACACACAATACAAAAAATATAATACATTCCCAAACAACGACATCACCAACCTCCTCAAGATGGCCCATCATCATCATCCCATTTAACACAAAATATTTACATAGTCTCGCTTCCCTTCAAAATACCAACAAGAGTTAATAGTTGACAATACATGACCATGGCTTGCAAAATGTGTACTCTTCACTATGGTTTTGAGACTTTACAAAAGTGCAGCAAAATACAAAAGATAGCAAAAAATATTCCTAGTCCTCCTTAAGTTTGTGATGGTTCAGCGTCCAAAATTTCTTTCCCGAGTCCTGAAAAAAAAAATGTTAAATGTAATGGGTTGAGCAAATTGCCCAGTAGGTGCAGCCTAAGACACATCTCTTGAAGCCCCGTGAATCCAAACAATGAATAGGACAATGGGAAGCGGGGTCATGCTAAATCGGGGAAAATGCAATATCAATTCCAAGTTCAAAACAAGCAAATGTCGTGCCATGAATGCAATGCCATGCATGTCACTCCCTTTTTTTTTTTTTTTTAAATCCAAATCCATCACTTTTTAAACTGTTAATATAACCCGCCCTTTGGTGACTCCGCAGCAATACGAGAGAAGGATTGGCTACTCTCCTTAACCCTTGGAACCCCCGCAGCGTCATTTAGGGCCCAACTAGCTCAACCACGCTAGGGCGATCTCCCTAATTCCCTCTATGTTATATTAACACACCGGCCCTTTGGTGACTCCGCGGCAACCGGGTTTTCTCAAAAACCGTTTTATCAAAATTTTCCCCAAAAATCCCTTTTTCATTCTTTTCAAATCACTTTACCCTTTTTCATGCCCCATGCCTTGAAAGCATATACATGTCTTGTCAATATTATGAGAATGGCAAAATTAATATCACACAATTAACATGCTTCCTCAAACAATTTCTAACAATTTAACGAACACAATAAGCATAGAAAATCAACAATAAAGCATACTTTCCATATAAATCAACAAATACACATAATTGCATGCTTCATGTACACAATTAAGTCATTTAAGAGACAATCAATTCAAATTAATCATGCTTAACAACCATTAAGATAGAAAAACTCACAAAGGTGCAAGAAAGTGTGAATTAGAGACCCCTACCTCAACTTAAGCAAAAATCCCCAAATTTGCCTAGATCTCGAAAATCAAAGAGTGTACCAAACTAGAAATTGCTCCAATTAACTTGTAGATCTCACCGTGAGCTTCAATTTGCCGAAAACGGCACTTAAAAATACCAAGAGTTGAGGAAGAAATCAAGAATTGAATCTGGGAACCAAAAGAAAGAAAAAAGAAAAGTCTAGAATGGGAGAGAGAAAGACTTACAGGAGTGAGAGAGGAATGAGACCCAAGTGGTCTCTAATGCTCTTAAATGGCTAAGGCGGGTCCCACCACTTTCTTTTATTTTTTTCCTTTTTCTTTTGTTTTCATTTTACACCACACACACACACACACACACACACACACATATATATACACATTTAATAATTTCACAACCTTATATAACACATAAAATAAAATGCATGGAATGCTAATGGACCCAATTAAAATCCCCGTATGCAACAATTCTGGTAGCGGGTCCCACAAGGGACCGTCAGGCCTGAAAAATGGAAAAAATGTGAAAATAGTTACGCTTGCATTTCATTGAGTCCCTTGCATTTCAAAGAGTCTTGGACTCAATGAAATGCTCTAAACAACTCTCGGACACAAGTACGCAAAACGGTAAAATGGAAAAATGCCCTTGCAACGACAAAATTTCCGGAAAAATGAAAAAATGACGAAAAATGGAAATTATCACATAATTATTATTTAGAAAAGGTCAAAACTCAAAATTTAAATCCAATATGCAGTCCACCCCATCCAGCACCTCGAATAGACTGAACCATCAATTCATTGTGGCCCTTTTTGCAAACTAACACACAAGACATCATCAAACAGACCATGATTGATCATTTTAAAGAAAAATTGGAATCTATAATACCTTGTAAGCACAAGATTAACCAAATTTCGGGTGAACAGATCATGGATGTTGGCAAGAGCAGAGATTTCATCTAGGTCATGTAGTTCCACCCCAATATCGATAAGAGCGGTGGCAGAGATCCTTTGATCTTCAGGAAATGAACCTAGGTCCAGGAAGCATTCCTTGACTTTAATTTTTTCGCCCAAGGCATCGACACTAGTTTGGAGATGAATAAGTAGATCACTGCTAGAATCAAAAATGGATTGCCCTTCTTCAGACCATTGATTTAGTGTACGTCTCCAGATCACCTCAGGTTGTCCACATAGCGATCCACCAACCACTGTAAGGGCCAGTGGGAATCCCCTACAACCTCTCACTATCTGCAATTTAATGTGGCAAATTAAATCAGCTGCAATTTCTTGCAAAGAGAAGTAATGCAGAATGGCAGACAAGTATACAAAATATCTACTTCTTGATCTTCAACTAAATGGAAATAATGCAGACTTGCAGACAAGTAAATAGAAGTTCTACTTCTTGTTCAATTAATTGAATCTGACATGCTTCTAATTTGAAAGGATAATTTTGGTCAAGGTTGCAGTCCCACTTGGCCAGAAGTCAGCGACTGTTTCACCAAGTATTAGAGTATTCTAACTATTAGAATGTATTACTATGGTTTTTTCCATTTAAAAAAAAAAAAAAAAATTCTATTCGGATATACAAACTCCGAAGTAAAAAAATCATCGTATTGAAGGCTGCATATTTTATGTTTTTGGATCCTTACAAAAATGGTGATACAAAAGTAAAACATGCAAGCATAGATTTACTGTGTGTAAAAACACAATTCTATCATATCAAACGAGTATGAAAATATATATTAGCTCTTATCAATAGAAGCGTTTGTAATCTACCTTGTTGACAAGATCTTCTGGTATGTTGGAGCTCTCACCTTGAGGAAATGCTGAATTTCGAAAAACAGCCATGGCATATTCATCATTTAACAGTTCCAATTTACATGTAGAATGAAATCTAGGAAATACAAATCTTGATGTAACCAATATTTTGTATTCTGGTATTGGGATCATGAATTTCTGAATAAGGGATTCTGATCCAGACCATACATCATCCAGGACCAACAACTTAGGACTTGTTCCTAATTGATTCACCAGAAAGTTTCCCAATTTGTTGATTGCATCGTCGTCATTTAGAAACTCAGGCACCTGAAAGTTCTTATGTTGAAACATGTTTTGAACAATGACCTTGAGATTGGGTGACTTCGAAACCGTGATAAAGAAAATATTGTCCTGAAATTTTCCTGTCCAAGCATGGCATTTTCAAATAGGTTAGATGTACAATATGTAACACCATTAAAAATTTAAGAAGTTCATAGATGAAATTCTTTCCAAGCTTTCAAAGGTCTGATAACAACTTTTCTTTTGAAGTGAAAAATTGATAATCAAATAAAAGTGAGGGATCGAGCAAATACATTTTCTTGCAGAAATTAAAGGTTACTTTATTTCTTTAAGAGTAAAACAGACAAATAGAAAACAATTCCAAAATGGAATAGTTTGATAGTTTTCTGAGGTTTGAAAAGAAAAAACAGACATCAAGGAAAAGTCTTCGTAGTTCGTTAGACAATTGTTTTATGTTTCTTGAACACTATTTTAAGAGAAGAAAGCTAAACAAGTCCTATGTAATTGTGCACATAATTCGGTTCGGTCCGGTTCTTGGAAGAATCAACACCAAACTAGTCCCAACAGTCCAAATATATTGGAACCAAACCGAACCATTGGAACCGGTGGAACCAAATCAAACCTAATTGTAGATCATCGACTCAGTTCATATATATCAATATTTACACATACAATCAAAGGATGGTAGTTATATATGTTAACTTCCATCTATTCTAAAAGCTTAAATTGTTAGAGAGGGTGTAACTTTAATATTTAAATCCTTCAACATGCCCCTCACGTATGGACTTCTTTTGGTCCAACAAGTGTTTCAATTTATTTTGTTATCAGGGTGATGGCTGATACCATGTTAACTACCATCTACTTTAAAATCTTAAGCTATTAGAGAGTATGTAACTTTAATATTTATATCCTCCAACAATATATATATATATATATATAACTACTGGTTCAATTTAGTTTGGTCCTTTTGGAATCTTAACAGAGAATAGAACAGTAATCAACAGTTCTTTAGTTTTTAGGACCCTAACCGAACTGTTCCATAGTTCCATCACAGAACTCTATGTAACCACTGAGTTACAACCAATGCTAGTAAACTTGGCAAAAGAAATGATCTTCAGTCATGGCACAAAATTTAAAGGCCTTTTAGATAAATTTAGCCAGTAGTATGGCTCAATTTGACACCAAAAAAAATTATTAGTTCCAAAAGCACATAACAATAACCCAAAAATAAATATATAAATTAAACAGAACAACAAAGGTAAGAAGATGAGATAATAATCCCTATATCAATACCTTCAATTTCAACATCATGGCAGAGCATTTTGGCCAAGGTAGTCTTCCCACATCCTCCGGGAGCCGAAAGCACGACCACCTGTCCACCATCCTTCAGCAACTTCATCTTCAATTCTTGAAGTGGCGCATCTAATCCAATAATAAAATCCGAAACTTTCAGAGCTCCGCACAAACCTACAAACACATTCGAATCACAAACCTGTCGACCTTTCCTCACATCCGACCAGATTCTATCCAATTTCCCATCAATTTCATTCACTTTCACCAGAGCCTTCCTGCTATCTCTTGTCTGCATTGCTTGCACATCCGTCTGAAAGAATTTCACAAGCAAATCTTCAAATTCGAGAAGCTTCTTCGAGTACGAAGGCCTCTTGAAGAATTTCAAACCCTTGGTCTGCGAGCACTTGCGGACCAGCTTCGCGGCCTCTTTCAACCGATCGGTGAACATTTTGGTTTCTTCCGGAGAAATGTCCAACTCTCGGTCCAAATTCTCAATCTCACGCATAATCGGTGCGAGCGAATTGAGTCTTGATTCGAGCCGGTCGAGGTTGGACTTGAAGGTGATGGCTTTGTCTTTGACATCAACAACAGCTTTCAGTAGTTCACCAAATGCTGCTCCCAAAGCAGCCCCTCCGACGAAGGCCAACGCCATCTATATGAAAATCAAGAGGAATCGGAAAAACCCAATTCACTGAAAATCAAGGGGAATCGGAAAAACCCAATTTACTGAAAATCAAGAGGTTTCTGGATCTTCTGGTTGTGTTTTCGATTTTCAACTCTTTAGTGGAGTGTGGGTGTGCAAGTATGTGAGAGAAGGAATGATTTTTCCTGAGAAGAGATGAGAGTAAAAGGAACAACTCCACACATGTTTTGATTCGTGAAATGGGATCGAAACTTTGGACTTTGCTCTCGTTGACCTGAAGTCTTATTTCCACCAATGACCGTTGGTTTAAAAGGGAAGGTTCATAATTAAGAACAATTAAATTAAACAAAGAGTCTAATCATCCGCTAAGTATTCAGACATGCATAGCATCATTTTTATAATAAAAGATGACCCTTGGATTATCTGACGAGGTAATTAAAAGTTACCACAAACTTAATAAAGCCTACATTACCAAAATAATAAAATTTGACCAAACTCCCTGATAATGCAATTTGAGATTGCAAAAAGGAGGTTTGTTGTATGTAAGTCCAAAATTTGGTGGTGGAAGCGCTATTTATAGAAGTTTTGGGCCAATCGTAATTAAGAGTATCCAAAACTACGTAGGTTTGGAAAAAAAAAAAATTCAGATTGTTTTTTGCTGCATCTTGAGATGTTGCAATCTCATTGCAGGCCCATTTGTGGGTTGCAATCCAATATGTCGCACCTTGGGAAGTATCATTTTGCACCCTTCTCGCTTTTTGTGCCCAATCCATGTTTTGCAGATGGTAACCAATATTTTTCACTTTTTTTTTTTCTTTCTTTCTTTCTAATTTTTAGAGATAAAATCAAATTTTGATTGGATTTGGACAATTCTAAAAGTCTTTTTGATGATCCTACAAGTTTCTTTCAAGATCGAATGGTAAATCAGAGGAGATTTAATTTTAAGATTTTTTTATCTAAAATGGCAGGAATTTTACCATGATCATCAATTTAATCATTAACGATAGGAAGATGGAGATTTAAAAAATCAAATTTATTTGCATTGGTTGTAACTCTGTGGTTACATAGAGTTCTGTGCTGGAACAATAGAACAATGTAACTTTTGAAAGTGGTTATTCCAAAATCTCTCAAGTACATACAATGAAGTGCTAGTCCATGTATTTTTAACCAAATAAAACCGACCCCAATCCCTCCTTATGAGTCCTCGTCTTTAAGATGATAGGTCGCCCATTGAACGTGTGCACTCGCTGAAGAACCTTGCCTACTGTTTCTTCTCAATGAACTTCTTTGAAAAAGTGATAATACACTTCTCCTTAAGCTTCCATGCCTTCCATGCTACATGATAAATTAATAATCCAGGTTGATAAAATACGTCTGTGTGGTAGAGTTTTCGAACAAACTCCGCCATGATAGCCGTGTAGAAGAACCATTCCGAGAAGTAGAGAAAGCCCCCGGTGGCTGTGTGAAGGACCCTGCTCCATGCTACACCCCGTCTTCTCCACGTGAAACACCAAAAGCCCTAAAATCGCACTAGAGAGAGACAAACCATGGAGAGGGAAGCCAAACAGATTGATTTGTCTTCGTTTTTATAAAGAAAACCATCGTCATCCAATAAATATCCACTATTTTACACAACACACATGTTTGGTTTGATTTATGGAATTGCTGAATAAAACTAAATAGCAATGAAATGAAATGATTCTAACACGTTATTGCTCAATTTGTTACCAAGAAGAATCCGAATCCCCTCGTGGAGGGAATGATATGCCTTTTTCCCATATCACTAGTATACAGGTAATACAATGCACATATAACACATATATGAAAAAAACTGTTTGTAAAAGCGAAGTAAAATTATTGCATAAACCATATAAATTTCATAAACTATGAAATAACATTGGATACAACATTAATGGCACGAGAGAGGATCTAGGTTCTACAAAGAATATAGAAACCTTAAAATTGACATACATAACCATTTTACCTTGTACATTGAAGATTGTAACGGCAACACCCACAAACACCAAATATTTAATAACATTCACGATAATAATAACAATAAACAAAACAACTGAAAATAAATACATACGTTTAAACATCATTTTTTCTTTTTTCTTTTTTTTTTTTTTTTTTTTTTTATGAATAATGATTTAAGAACCGAATTCGAAAATTTCTTATTTCAATTTTTGTGAGTGCGGATGGAGTCCACTATATGATGTCACCATGAAGTCATGAATTCGATAACTCTCGAATTCGGTCCGATTTCTCAGACGTTTAGATTGGGAAGCCAGTTCAAATTGATGTCTTCATTAAGCACATTTATCTTCAGATTGGTGAGAAAAGTTTTAAAGGGTTCCCAGAGATCAGAAGCTTCTTCGTTGCATATCACATCCTTTAATTGCCAAAGATCCTTTACTGATGGCGGCAACTTATGAAATTCACAGCCTCTCACGTCGAGCTTTTTCAAACCACACAACCCACCGATCCCCATTGGCAATTCACTCATGCTTAAACAGTCAGATATATCAAGAACTCTTAATTCATGGAGGCTTCCGATTGACTCAGGTAGCCCCAAAAGGCTTGTACAGGCATGAAGCCTCAGCATTTCCAAACTTGTTAGCCTTCCAAATCCTTCAGGGAGTGCTTCCAGATCATGACATTTAGTGATGCTGATCTTCTTAAGGCAGGGAAGGTCACAAAGCCCCTCAGGCAATTCAACTAAATCAATGCAACAGTCGATATCAATCTCCAAAAGATTAGGGAACATATGGGGCATATCGATGGTACAGTTTTTAAAGGCGTCGCCAATCTCACACATAATCAAGGATATCTTCTGCAAATTCGTGAATTGTAATGTGGATTTACTAAGGAAAGAAACTGAAATATTCTCTAGCCTGATTCTCTTTAGACTGGACAAAGAACCAAGTAGAAGAGAGTTGCTCAGTTTAGCTGGGCAGAAACCATAATTCGTGATGATCAGAACCTTCAATTGGTCCATTTTCTCCATGAGTTCAGGTAGGCTGTAGTTCTTTGTCCAGAAATTCAATATTAGAACTTTTACTTCAGGTAGTTGGATATTGTACCAGCTTGAGGAGAATGTTTCATCTGCAATCGAATTCCGCACATTGTGAATTGGGGAAAAAAGAAAGAAAAAATTATCAATACTCTGCAGCAGGTTTCGTTTTGAAAATGTGAGATAAGCAAACCTGTAGAGATGGACAAGAGGTGGGCGCGGAAGGGTTGCTGCATTTGTTCAATCGACCAGTTGGGAAGGTCATTTCCTCTTACGTCTATAATTAACCTTTTCCTCTGTTCTACTGGCTCTAGGCTGCTCTGGTGAATAGCCAGCTCTCTCAGCAGATCATGCTGTGTGACAAAATGCTCATTGCCGTCAACCTCAATTGCATCTTTCCTGTGAAAGGAGTAAATCAGGTTTACTTAAGGCGCAATGCAATTTATAGGATACAATAACAACAAATATCCTGATGGGGCATGCTTACTCAATCAATTAGAGAAAAAAATGAACAAACAAATTTAGGCATCAATATGACAATTAATAACAAGGATAACAGCAGCTGGAATATTCCTACAAGTCAAAGTTGCGGCCTTGATTGGACATGAAAAATGAGCTTTGTGGGGCCCAAGTTTATAAGGGCTCTTAGGGTTTTGACTTGGAAAACAAGTGCACTGAAGATCGCAGAAAAGAGAGTCTGAGAGAGAGCTAGGGTTTGAGGGCAGAAACTAGTACTTTCCTGATTTTTGCATAGTGAAATCTGTCGTCGGATCTTCACCATAGATGTAGCCCAAATTTTACGTAAATCTTTGTTCTCTGTGAGTGGCGTGTTTAATTTTCTGTCGTGATTCTCGTTTTGTTCTTGGTTCACTGCGTTTGTCATAACATTATTATCATTATTATTATTATTATTATTCTGTATGAATGTCCTTTCAGAATTCAGAGGGTAAGTTAATATACAGAACTGAATAAGAGGATGAAAAACAACTGAAAAGTCAATGCATATTGGAGTCTAAAGAAAACACTTGTGCACTGTAAAAGAAATGTCAAAAATTCAAATTTTGCATCCTATGCCCAGTCCCACCCCTTCAACACAATGAATAGACTGGACCATCACTTCATTATGGCTCTTTTTGCAAACTAACAGACTAGACATCATCAAAACAAACCATGATTGAACACATTAAAGAAAAATAAGAATCTAGAATACCTTGTAAGAATAAGATTAACCAAATTTCGGGTGGATAGTTCATAGATGTTGGCAAGAGCACGGATCTCATCTAGGTTGTATAGTTCAACCCAAATATCGATAAGAGCAGTGGCAGGGATCCTTTGATCTTCAGGAAATGAACCTTGGTCCAGGAAACACTCCTTGCCATTAGTTTTTTCACCCAAGGCATCCATGCTAGTTTGGAGAGAAATAAGCAGATCACTGTTGGAATCAAAAATGGATTGTCCTTCAGACCATTGCTTCAATGTACATCTCCAGAACACCTCAGGTTGTCCACACAGTGATCCACCAACCACTTTTAGGGCCAGTGGGAATCCTCTACAGCCTCTCACTATCTGCAATTTAATGCGGCAAATTAAATCAGTTGCAGTTTCTTGCAAATGAAAATAATACAGAATTGGTGACAAGTATATACAAACTCCACTTCTTGATCTTCAATTAAATGACACTAATACAGAATCGCAGATAAGTAAACAGAAGCTCTACTTCTTCTTGATCAATTACATGAACATAATATCCATACTTTTAATTTGAAACGGATAATTTTGGTCAAGGTTCCAGTCCATAGTTGGCCAGAAATTATATTAACCACTGTTTTTTCCATTATAATATATTTTCGGAGATACAAACTCTGAAGTTGAAAAAAAAAAACCATGGTATTGAAAGCTGCATATTTTATATTTTTGGGTCATTAAAAAAATTGGTGATACAAAAGTAAAACATGCAAGCATAGATTTACTGTGTGTACAAACACATAATTCTGTCAGACAAGTAAGAAAAAATATATTATATCTTATCCATAGAAGCATTTGTATTCTACCTCGTTGACAAGATCATCTGGCATGTTGGAGCTCCCACCTTGAGGAAATGCTGAATTACGAAAAAGAGTCATGGCATTCTGATCATTCAACAGCTCCAATTTATACGTAGAATCAAATCTAGGAAATACAAATCTTGACGTAACCAATATTTTGTATTCTGGTATTGGGAACATGAATTTCTGAATAAGGGATTCTGATCCAGACCATACATCATCTAGGACCAACAACTTAGGACTTGTTCCTATTTCATTCTGGCTCAGCAAGTTTCCTAATTTGTCAATTGCATCATCATCATTTTGAAACTCAGGCACCTGAAAATTCTTATGTTGAAACATGTTGCGAACAATGGCCTTGAGGTTGGGTGTCTTTGAAACCGTGGCAAAGAAAATATTGTCCCTAGATTTTCCTGTCCAAGCAAGGTATTTTCAATAGGTTAGAAGTGCAAAATGGAAAACCATTAAAAATTTTAAGTTTATATAATGGCTCAATTTGATACATAGGCACATCAATGCATTTCCCAATATGCAAATTATTAGTTTCTAAAGCACACAGCATTTACCAAAGAAAAAAAGCAAAAAAAGCATAACAACAAAGCCAAGAAGATGATATAATAGCTATATCAATACCTTCAATTTCGACATCATGGCAGAGCATTTTTGCCAATGTAGTCTTCCCACATCCTCCAGGAGCCGAAAGCACGACCACCTGCACACCATCCTTTAGCAACTTCATCTTCAATTCTTGAAGAGGCACATCTAGTCCAACAACAATATTGGGAACCCCCGGAGCTCCACACGAACCTACAAACACACTCGGTTCACAAACCTGTCCACCTTTCTTCATACCCGACCACATTCTACCCAATTTCGCATCTATTTCATTCACCTTCACCAGAATCTTCCTGCTCTCCCTTGTCTCCAGAGCTTGCACATTGGTCTGAAAGAATTTCACAAGCAAATCTTCCATTTCGACGAGTTTCTTCGAGTAGGAAGACCTCTTGAAACAATTCAAGCAAACAGTTTCAGAGCATTTGCGGACCAGCTTCGCAGCCTCTTTCAACCTATCGGTGAACATTTTGGCTTCTTCCCCCGGAAAGTCGAGCACTCTGTCCAAGTTCGCAATTTGGCGTGCAATTGGTTGGAGTGAATTGAGTCGTGATTCAAGTTGGTCGAGGTTGGACTTGAAGTTGATGGTTTTGCCTTTGACATCCTGCACAGTTTCCAGTAATTCACCAAATGCTGCTTCCAATGCAGCCCCTTCAATGAACTCCAACGCCATCAAATGTAGTAGAAATATCAGGAAGTGCTCAAATTTTACTAAATCTCAAGTTTATATGCACAGGGAAAAGAAAAAAACCCAATTCACTGAATATCAAGAGTATTTTGGTTCTTCCCAATCTTCCGTCTTCATTTTATATGAAGTTGGCGTGTGAGGAAATATCTCTGAATTTTCCAGGATTTTTAGTTGTATTTTCCATAAAGCGTGTTCAAACCACAACATTGAAAGACGTAGCAAGTATAATAGAAATTGGCGTCACATTTCCATCCTTTTATTAGTAAAAATAAATTCGTTTGCATTAAACTCTAAAGTCTCCCTCAAATTTTAAGAGACCCTTCTTGTTCATTGATCAACCATTTAATAGGAAGAGACTAATGGATTTTCTTTTTTCCCTTTTCAATTAGTAACTAGAAGAGATAGCATTCATGATTCACCGGATAGAAAAATGAAGTAGGCACATTCTAAAGTCTATGTAAAACATAATTGGAGGGCTTAATTACATCAAAATGACAAAATTGTATTTACGTCATCAAAGCTGAAGCATGCTAAGAGAGAGGAATGGTTTCAATAATTTTGATTTTTAAAATGTCCAATCTTAGACTTGTAATTATTTAACTTCATCCAGTTGAAAGAAAGAAAAAAAATGTTTCTTTCATCTCTACACAAACCCAACTCATTCATTCGTAAGGATGTAAAGTCTCAACAAACTATCCATGGTAGGGTCTCTTTTACAAACCCAAAAATGGTAAAAATCTGACTACATTCACATCACCATGTTCTCAGATTATGAAGATTGATAACACTGCTACACGAATCCGCGTAGTTGGAACAAAACCTTACCAAATGTCATGGTTTTGAATAAACTATGGCTGTACAAATCCGCGTTTCAGCGCAAGTACATTTCTAATACGTTATTTGTATGTATTATTAAACTAATGTATCATTAAATTGTAACTATATTTGCTTTTGCTTATTTTCTCATCCCCAACTATATAATTTGTTTAAACTTGACGAGATAATGTGAAATGATCCTTGTAGCAGAAGACCCTAATAAAATATATCTTCCTTCTATTACAAAATACATTCACCTAGTCTAAATGCAATGTTGGTAAAATTCACCAAATTAGACCTAATCTAATCTTCATATCCATACCTTTGAATTTCCACATCTTGATGGAGAATTTTTGACAACGTAGTTTAACCGCATCTATTTCATTCAATTTCACCAGAATCGTCTTCGATTGACCCCTTCAATTCCACGAGCTTGCTTCTTCTTCCGGTAACCTCACAAATTTTTAATCGATTTAGGGTTTCGTGCACGGGACGATTCAACGATTTGTTCAGCTTAATGATCACACCAAAGAATGGTTCTAACGATTTGTTCAGCGTAAACTTGACGGCTATGCTCGTCAAATGATTCAAAACAGCTTTCACCAATTCATTGACTGCTGCTGCTCCCAAAACAGCTCCTCCAAAGAGCTCATCCGCCATCTATGTTATGTATTGTCTTCTTCGCAGAAACCCTAGTCCCTCGAACTCTGGAGAGCCTTTTTGGGGAAGCGGTATTTTGGGGGTAAAAATGAAATATTAATTTCATTTATATTTTATTTTGTTACTTATATGCAAAAGGTTAAGATTATAAATTTATTAAGATTGTTTTTTTTGGGAAAAAATAAAAATAAAAATAAAAATTTTCTAATTTTTGTTCTCTTTGAACAATAATTGATGAAGAGTAATAATAGCGAAAAATAAATTTTTGAATTAAGATCGAATTTGACGTGGCTGGCTATACTTATTACGTGTTAAGTAATTATTTTTTAAAAACTATTTAAGTATATGAGATTGACAAAAACATTCAGGACTTATTCGGGGAAATCATTGGGCAACCCTATCATTTTTTATTGATGAAACATATTAATTTAGTGGTTCCTATCCCTTCTCATGGAAGAGCCATGGATCTAATTTCAACCAAACAAATATAAGAATTCCAAGGAGAAGGGAGAAAAAAAAACAGAATTGTTAGATGAGAAAAACAGTTTGGGTTAATTTTAATTGGGTTCTAGTCGTAAATGAATTAATACGAGTTTAATTAATTGTATCATGTTAAAATCGTTTAACTAGTCGTAAATGGATTAACACGATTAACTAGTTTAATTATTTGTATCGTGTTAAAATCGTTTAACTAAATATAGCATAATTGTATTAAAAGGACTCGTGTAACTCGTTACCCGTTTAGACACAATTACTATAGACAATTAGGTCATTTCAACGTAAACACTAACAAAAATATAAATTAGTTCTTTAATTGTTATTTCTTTTCCCTCTCATTTATGCTACACCTTATGATTTTAAAATGATTAGAGTTTCATAAACATTTTTATTATATCCGCTTGTTTATTGGGGGGTGATGATTTCTTCTTACTCTGAATGTTTGGGTTCTATAATAACTATCTAAACTTATGTCATTAGCGGCAAAATAAATGATAAGTGCCATGCACTTGCTCGCCTACCCACTTGCCAATGCAAATGGGCGAGTTCCACACACTTGCCCGCCATTTGTTCGTACAAAATAATAAGTAAGTATCCTGCACTTGCCCTATTAGGCAAGTTCCATATACTATACAAAATAATGGGCAAGTGTCCTACACTTTTTCACCTGGGCAAGTTCCATACACTTGCCTATACAAAATAATGGGCAAGTGTCATGAACTTGTCCACCTGGGCAAGTTCCAAACACTTGCCCATCACTTGCCTGCACAAAATAATGGGCAAGTGTTATGCAGTTCTCCACCTTTGGGCAAGTGCCATACACTTACCCACCTGGGCAAGTTCCATACACTTGCCCATCACTTGCCTATACAAAATAATGGGCAAGTGTCATGCATTTGTCCACCTTTAGGCAAGTTCTATACACTTGCCTATACTCAATAATCCACCTTTGGGCAAGTTCCATACACTTGCCTATACAAAATAATGGGCAAGTGTCATGCAGTTATCCACCTTTGGGCAAGTGCTATACACTTGCCCACCATTTGCCAAAACAAAATAATGGGCAAGTGTCATGCGTTTTCCCGCTTTCCCACTTGCCCATACAAAATAATGGGCAAGTGTCGTGCACTTGCCCACTTACCCATTTGCCCATACAAATGGGTAAGTGCCATACACTTGCCCACCACTTGCCTATACAAAATAATGGACAAGTACCATGCACTTGTCTGACTACACATTTGACCGTGTGCCTACTTGCCCATACAAAATAATAGCCAAGTGTCAGGTACTTTCCCACTCACCCCAGGAATGATCTAGTGCAAGATGAAAAGAAGGTGAGGCACTCAGTTTTGAGTGCAGGTTTAGCAGGAACCAAGGGTATCAGGTAGGACCATAAGTAGATTCATGATGGGATCAGGATAGGACTATGAATTATCACGTGCCAATTACTAATGGCACATGTCACAGGGATGCATGGTTAATTCATATAGTCTAAGATCGCCAACTATCGGGAAACACGAGGAATAAGGCGATACACGCCTAAGTATGTTAGTTGTATTGGCAATGGTAATACTAGGTAGTGTAGGCTAAAAATGATCCGCGACATGTTACACTAACATATTATTACCTAGGAGAGCATTGACACTTACGCGCAAAGTGTCTAGCTCTGCGTATGGCGAACGCCACATCATGAGGAGAACAGGTGGGGAAAGAGGTACTTGAGGCATGGCGGATTGAACAAGGGACTCCCAGGGGTAGGGTGGAGGAGGTTCCTTGACCTACGACTTAGGCAGATGAGTCACTCACGTCTTGACTAAGGGAATAAATGAGGGACACATAGCCTTTTAATACGTTGACACGTAACGGATGTTCGTATAATAACACGTGCTCGACATGTGCCAATAGCACTATATTGCAATATAGTGACTTGATGGACTCATTAATGACATAAGACCGGAGATTCTACTACTCTCCCTCCCTATTATCTCATTTATTCATTTGTCTAAGTTCTCTCCCTAACCCTCTCATCCTTTCTTTTCCTTTTTATACTTGAAGTCATCTCTGGGAATACCTCACTTTCAGGACTTTTGTTTATTTTCTTATGAACTAGAAACTATTTAGTAATTTAAATATTGGATTGAGACTTATATTTTTTTTTTCCCTGGTATTTATTATTTGATTTGGTATTATTAATAATCTAAATAATATAATGTCTGGTTTTAGTAAATAGGTTAACACGTGTAACTCATTTAATGAACATATCGTGTTAGTGTTGAGGGTTCCTGATATGATTATTAAATGAGGCATATTTAGGTTAACCTGTTTATTATAGAATAGCCGTAGACTGACACGACACCATTATAACTTGTAAATACGAATTGCCACCCTTAGTATGAAGATACAAGAGTACATGGTTATATCAGCCAGAAGGATATGGGATGTAAACGTGTGTTGTCCAAACAAACGTATACAACTTTTTCAAATATAACCACGATTATAATGTACACCCTGCGCGGTATATATTATGGTTTAATGCCTTCCTCGGATCACCCATCACCTCACTTGAGACATTATTAAGTATATCCATCAACCTTATACAACGGCCACCACCATCCTAATGATTAGGATTTTGAAAACGTAAATTAGTATTTTAAAATTCTAAAAAAAGTGAAAAAAAAAAGAGAGAAAAAATTACTGAGAAATTAAGGTTTTAAATCTTGATATATCTTTTGAGTGGTGGAAAGACAGAGTATGATTGTAGTGAAGAATTGCATTGTAAGAGAGAGAAATAAGTTACGCGGATACAATCAAACACATATTCGCCAACACGTACGTCAATTTCTACAAAATAGGACATGAAAGTTGTGTGAACATTGTTAATATAAATATTAATTTTCATTGATATATATATATATATATTACTTAAGTCAATTATAGAGCTTTAATTAATTTATAAAGTTCTAGAAGGTGAAACTTTTTGAATATACATAAAACTATTATATATTATTTAGTTCCTTATTTTATCATTATAGTTTAGCTTTTGTTCATCATATTGTGACGTTCGCAATTTTTCATTTTTTTGGCATTTTTTTTTTTTGGATTATTTTATTTTTGTGCCTCATTTTGGTGTCACACACGGGTTAGCGTACCACGAGGGTTCTGAGAGTCATTTAGGATATTTCTTTAAGTTTAGAACTCTTAGAAACGTATTTTGTGTCACTTTAGTATTTTTTAGAATTTTGGTCTTGGAGGCCCTGAGCGGGTCCAACGTCCGGATTTGCGTGTCCGGAAAATATTTTATGTACTTAATTTAATGTTTTACATGTTATTTGATATATATGCGAAGGTTCATTTGAAATTTTAGTTGGCATATAGGGGTATTTTAGTCATTTTAGTGGGCAACACCTTTTGATCACATGTAGGGGGACAAAGCTACATCATTATTCTGCAGATTCTCTCTCTAACTTTCATTTTTCCTTCTTCTTCTTTGTTTCTTCTTCCATGAAAATCCACCATTGTTGCTTACTTTAAGCTCACTTTTGACATGGTTTTAGTAGGATTTTTGACTTTGAGCCAAGAGGGAGATTGAACCTACATCACAAGAGCTTTCTTGTGGTACCAATATCATCCTTATTTAGCCACTTCAAAATTTTCGATTCTCCTTGAAGGTTTGTTTTTGTTGAAGCTTTAAGAGGAAAGTTTATTCCTCTTGTCCCCCCCTCTCCATTGGTGTGCTTATGCCTCATTTTGGTGGACATTAGCACTTGTTGCAAATTAGGGTTTGAGCTTCAAATAGGTAAAGTTATCTAACTTTCATAGTCCTTTAATTTGGTAGCCAAATTCATGTTTTCCCCAATTTTAACATGCCAATTTGATGTCAATTTTGTAGTAGCATTGTAATACCCCTAGTTTCAAAAGGATATAATTGGGATTTAATTTTTATATTTTTAAATTTGAGGTGCTTATGTGGTTATGTGTTTAGATGATTTGATGGTTTGTGTTGAATTTAATTAAAGGTGTGTTTAACTAATTTGTTTAAATTACATTTTTGTTTTAATTATTGTATTTAAATTGGGTGGTTTGTTTAGATGTTATTTAAGAGTATTTTTATTTATTTTAATTGAATTTCTTGTTTTAATTGTTTTAAATTGTTTATTGGTTTATTAGTTTTTTAAATGATTTAATTGGATTAAATTAGAAGTTATTGATTATAATGTAAACTTAGGGTTATATTCTTTTAGGAATTACGGTTTGGCCGACTAGGGTTAATTAGGGTTTCTGTCTCTAATTACAATTGGACCTAGATTTTAGTATTTCCTATATATATACTGTTATAATTCTGTATGAGGGTGGTAGAACTCTGTTTCACGAACAGTGAGTTTTTGAGAGAAAACAGAGAGAATGAGTATTAGGGTTTTGGCCAAGAACCAAGGTTGAACCAAGGAGAGGAGGAAGAGGTGTTGCTCGTGGGATGAACCTAGGGCAACAAAGGAGTGGACGACAGTCGAGAGGTCGCCAGAAAGTCTGGACAGAGGACGATTAAAGGTTTCAAACCAAAACTACAGAGGCAAGTTCTTTCCTTTCTCTCTCCCGT